GGCCCCATAGGGAGCTCCACCGAAGGCCCAAATGTCAGGGTCCGCATGCGGTTCCACCTCCATTTCGGCGCACCCCTCACACGTTTCGTGGCCCCATAGGGAGCTCCACCGAAGGCCCAAGTGTCAGGGTCCGCATGCGGTTCCACCTCCATTTCGGCGCACCCCTCACACGTTTCGTGGCCCCATAGGGAGCTCCACCGAAGGCCCAAGTGTCAGGGTCCGCATGCGGTTCCACCTCCATTTCGGCGCACCCCTCACACGTTTCGTGGCCCCATAGGGAGCTCCGCCTAAGGCCTAAGTGCAGGGTCCGCATGCAGTTCCACTTCCATTTCGGCGCACCCCTCACACGTTTCGTGGCGTCATAGGGAGCCCCGCCTAAGGCCCCATGGCAACGGTCGGCACGGTCCGCCTGCAGTTCCACCTCCATTTCGGCACACCCCTCACACGTTTCGTGGCCCCATAGAGAGCTCCGCCTAAGGCCCAAGTGGCAGGGTCCGCATGCAGTTCCACCTCCATTTCGGCGCACCCCTCACACGTTTCGCGGCCCCATAGGGAGCTCCACCGAGGGCGCCAATGGCAGGGTCCGCATGCAGTTCCACCTCCATTTCGGCGCACCCCTCACACGTTTCGCGGCCCCACAGGGTGCTCCACCGAAGGCCCCAGTGGCAGGGTCCGCATGCAGTTCCACCTCCATTTGGCGCACCTCTCACACGCTTCGTGGCCCCATCGGGTGTTCCACCAACGACGATACTTACAACGGCGGCATTCGGAATTGCGTATGGTTGGGCCCTTCGCCAGGATAATTACACGCAAGGTTCAGGGGAAACGGGTCTTTGAATTGATTCCTTCAAAATGCGGTTCTTGCTGAAACGCTGGCCTCATTTTCGGGCTACCGCTCGTTCCGAACCGTGCTCCCGCTGCAACGCTGGCCTCATTTCCGCGCTTCCACTCGTTCTGAATCGTGCTCCCGCTGCAGCGTTGGCGTCATTCTTTCCAGCGCCATGCAACGGCATGGACCTAGGACCTTCCAAATCACCCCCCCCCCCAGTCTATAAAAATACCCCCCTCGAACAAAAACATCGGCAATGATTCCACATTCGGTGCCGATTCGTTGTTTTTTTCGGTCGCAGACGCCCCGCCCTCTTTGGGGCGTCGCCACGCCATGCTATGTCAGGCTACGCGTCCTCCGAATCGTGCGCCCGCTGCAGCGCTGGCCTCGTTGCCGCGCTTCCGCTCGTTCCGAATCGTGCTCCCACTGCAACGTTGGCGTCATTACTTCCAGCGCCATGCCACGGCATGGTTCTCGGTATTTCCAAATAGGCCCAAACATCAAGAAAATGTTCCCCCGAAACAACCATCGGAAGTGATTACACATTCGGTGTCGATTCGTTGATTTGTTGGGCCGCAGAAGCCCCCCCCTTTTGGGGCGTCGCCACGCCATGCTATGTCAGCCTACGCGTTGATTTTCAACACAATGCTATGCCATGTAATGCTATGCCCTGCTACGACATCCGACCGTGCGAATGGAGAGGATATCTACGCCGTGGTAAGGGATGGGAGGGAGGCGTAGGACGTCAGACGATGCGACGCGAGCGCACCTAGCTTGCCACTTCCCCCTCCCCCTCCTCCTCCTCCTCCTCCTCCTCCTTCTCCTCCTCCTTCTCCTCCTCCACTCCCCCAGGTGCCTCCACCTTCTGCACGCCGAACACGTTGGACGAGGCCAACGCGGCGAACTTGCCCCGCCGGTAGGGCCCCATGATGCGGAGGTTCTCCTGCCCGCCCGCTTCTGTGGCAACTCTTATGCTGCTCCCATCGCACTTCAGGACCGCATCCCGAAAATAATTCCGAGCACCCAGAAGAGTATCGAAACAGTGTCGAGCGAGTGTCGCCTCCCAGGGCCAGGCACGCAAACCCCCCCAAATATTCGGTACTTTATTGGTGCTCGAAATTCTTTTTGGTGATCAAAACAATTATCCCAGTGCGACCCTACCTAGGAGTTGGAACCCCTAGGAAAGCAGCATTAGTAGTAACAGTAACGCTAAGCTAAAGCTAAGCTTTAGCTAAGCTGAAGCTAAGCTAAAGCTAAGCTAAAGCTAAGCTAAAGCTAAGCCACAGCTAAGCTAATGCTAAGCTAAAGCTAAGCTAAAGCTGAGCTAAAGCTGAGCTAAAGCTGAGCTAAAGCTAAGCTACAGCTAAGCTACAGCTAAGCTAAAGCTAAGCTAAAGCTAAGCTAAAGCTAAGCTAAAGCTAAGCTACAGCTAAGCTACAGCTAAGCTAAAGCTAAGCTAAATCTAAGCTAAAGCTAAGCTAAACGCTAAGCGAACAACTAAGCGAAACGCTAAGCTAAAGCTAAGCTACAGCTAAGCTAAAGCTAAGCTAAAGCTAAAACTAAAGCTAAAGCTCCCAGGGGACTGGGGGGAACCGCTCCCAGGGGACTGGGGGAACCGCCAGGGGCGTGTTCCACTGCCCGGCCCCTTTAAGCTAAGAGAGTAAGAACCCTTCTAGGCAGAGCCTAGGTAGGGAAAAAATAGGTTGGAACATCATACGGTAGGCTTGTGCGGCGTTGACGCGCGCAACGGTGTTTTACACCGCGTCGATCGTTCAACCTTGAACCGATCGCGGCCCCGATCTTTCAAGCTTGAATTCCGTCGGGTCCCGTGGCGTCACCGAGTCCCTCAGTGCTTCCGCGTCGCAGAATTCAGCCTTGAACGACTTCGCCGGCGTCGCCGGCGCGCCAACGCCGCACGAAACTACCGTAAGGCAACTCGTTGTTTTGACCTCCAGGATCGGGGATCTTCTGACCCCGGTCAATCCAGACCCGGGTCAGCAGGAAACAAAAAAACTGCAATGCAGGAAAAAAACTGCAACGCAGGTCTTCGCAAACCCGGGTGAGCCAATATGCGCGGCCGCCTCGCGTCCACGAGCGGCTTGCTAACCCGGGTCAGCCAGAGGGGGTCTTCGCCGGATCCTGCAGGATCCGGCGCTCTGGCTAACCCCCGTCTGCATTGACCCCCGTCTCTTAGGCCCCGAAAGGGCAGCGATAGGGGTGGACCGGCATAGCGGGGGCATAGCGGGGTGGAGCGGAATCGGCGATCCATGGGCGATTGTCGGGGATGGACAGAACCCCCTTTAGTAAAACGTGGTTTGACCCCGGTCTCGAGGCTCCCGGCAGGAGAACTCCCGACAGCGCACCACCGCCGGCCCCGGGCAAGCCCATCCTGGGCCTCCCGGGCCGGTGAACAGCTCCTCCTGGCCTGGGCCCGCCTGTCCAAAGCCCAGGATGGACCTCTGGCCGGGGCCGGTGGAGGAGGAGCGAGGAGGAGCGAGGAGGAGGAGGAGGAGGAGAAGGAGGAGGAGGAGGAGGGGAGGAGGAGGGAGGAGGAGGAGAGGAGGAGGAGGAGGAGTAGGAGGAGGAGAGGAAGGAGGAGGGTAGGAGGAGGAGGAGGAGCGAGGAGGGAGGAGGAGGAGGAGAGGAGGAGAGGAGGGAGGAGGAGGAGGAGGTGGAGGAGGAGCGATGAGGAGGAGGAGGAGGAGGAGGAGGAGGAGGAGGAGGAGGAGGAGGAGGAGGATGAGGAGGAGGAGGAAGAGGAGGAGGAGGAGGAGGAGGAGGACGGAGGAGGAGGGAGGAGGATTGAAGGGCAACGATGGGGGGGCGGGGGACGCAACGACCTGCAATCGGCGATACCTCGCCGATGGATCGGCGACAGGCTCCCGATAGCAAATCCGCACCTTCCTGGGCAGGTCGGGACTATCGGGCCCCTATCGGCGATCATTGGGCGATTTGTGATCGATGCGTCCCCCCCTCTGCCTATCCCACCTTTTCGTTGCCCCTGATGGTGGTGGTGTACCGTCTCTCCGAAACTCGACAGGACCCACCAGTGAGTGCAGCCAGCTGGCCGTGCGGGGCCTGCCAGCCTGCTCCGCAGCAACGTGCCACAGGCCTACGTCAAAGACAAGCCCGAGGCTCGAGACACTGCACCGAATGTGACCCACCCACCTATGTGGTGGCACACCCACGGTCATGACTAGAGGAGCAACAAAAATGCACAAACGTAAACTTTCGACGGTCCGCGCGGATTTCTTGGATCTGCGCTGGACCCTCCTCCCTGGCGCGCTGGCTGCGGCAGGCTCGTGTCGTGCCGGCTGCGGCATCGGCCTCTGCCACCGCAGGGATCGTGAATCGGCGGCGAACCCAGGGGCCCACAGATGCGGCGCTCCCCAAAAAGTTGGAGCGTGCGGAAAGGCGGTAGCCATGGACCCTTTTCCTTGAACCATACATCGAAAGTTTCGAATGTAAGCTCTGACGTCGTGGAACCGTGCAGTCCTCCTCGAGGCTGCTGTGCATGCTAACAGGCTCGTAAATCAGTCAGCTCGATACACAATAACTCCGCTGAGCCTCCTCAAGCTCGCGTCCTGTCGCAAGTGAAACTGAAACAACCTCGGCACAATAAATCTTATTATTTGAACGTTCTCTCTGGCAGTCTCGCGCGCCACTGCCTCTGGAGCTGATCAAACCCCGCAGAATCTCCCCGGCGGTTAAACCTCGCCCCGCATCTTCCGAGCTGCTCGGACCTGCCGTCGACGGCCTGCGCATCATCAGGTCGCCCGAAACTCCCCAGTCCCTGGCACCGGGCGGGTTGCACCTCCCGTCGGCCTCGTGGTGAAGTTTGCTTCTCCTCTTGTGCGTCACTGGACCTTGCGCTCCAACTGACCTGAACTTCTTTGTTTGCACCTCTGGCCCCAGCGAGGCATCACGCCTTCGCCACGTCGACGGGGGCGCGTCCAGCTGCTCGTCTCCATGTCGAACAACCTCTGGTACAATGTGAAACAGCGTAGCCCATGTCTCTGTCTCAACTCTTTTTGGCTTTACCCCTGGCGCCACGAACGCAACAAAAGTAAACCACTCGCCAGCATTACAACCACCATGTGGAACAGAACGCTCCACCAACTGAAATCGTTATTCATGTTGACGTTGGTGTTTCCTCGTCCTGATAGTAATACTAGTTCGCGTCCACTTGCGTGGTGATGAGCACCGCCGCCAGCACCTTGGTCAGAACCTTGGGACGCCTGAGCGTCGTCAGCCGCAGCTGGCTGAGTCCAGGCCAGTGTCCACCGCTTGGCCCTTGGTTTTTAATTTTTGCAACCTCCATCTCTCCGTCACGGACCAGATCTTGCTGCAGGATCCACCGCGCCTGTAGATGCAGCGCCCGTCCAACTCCGCGTATGTGTATCACGCCCCTCGCTGCTGCAGAATCCATCTCCAACTCCAGCGTGCTATTGACCTGATCCTTCCCCATCTCCGCCATTTCCTGCAGCGCGCGTGATCGTGAGACTTCGCGCCGTGCCTGACCCCATGGCCTAGAATGCCGACTTCCCGTTTGACGCCGATGTCGCTCGAGATAATGCCCAACTCTCCGGCAGATGAGTGCCCGAGCGAATACAACCCGACGAAATGCTCTTGCAACTTGCCTCCTAAACAGCGCAGTCTGCGTCCACCGACGCCCTCACCTTGAACGTCATCTGCTGATACGGGTAGGGAATCGCGATGTCGGCCGTGCCCTTCGGGTATCTCGCCAACTGCTTCTGCTTCAGGATGCGCTGTACCCTCGGATCTTTGCACAAACAACTCTGCTCTCGAACGGCTTCTTGAATGTCGTGTCGGTCGATTGCCAAGTACTGGCCGATCCCACCACGCCTCCTGTATTGCAATGTACTCTGCCTTGATGCTGGGTCCCCTACTTCACGAACTCCTTTTCGCCGCGTCATTTAAATCCGGCGCGTCTGTCGCTCGGCCTGATTCAACACGTAGGGCTCCGTCACATTCAGGATCAGCTCCGGGTCTGGCCATCCACCGACGCCCCTCGCCCCGAATCGCCGCCCGTTCGGGGGGCGTCCCTTCAACCCCTCCTCGAGGTCAGACTCGCGCGTTAAGCTTCACATTGGATCGGCTGACCATGGTCGCATCGAACTTGCCCAACTCCTTCCGGCAGGCCCCCGCGGCGAGGTCATCCCCATGGCCGGCGCGCAGAAAAACGATCCCAGATTTGTAATGCACGAAGCGCGCCGTCTCAACTCCACGCGCCCGTTTTGCGAGAAGTGGTCCCCCACCTCGCTTTGGCATGGCGTCGACGCCTCTCGCGTCCAATCCGTCGCCTTTGGATGCTTCCGAAGGCGTCGCAGGTCGTCGCTGCCCAGGTGGTGGCCAGCGATGTGATGGCTCCTCCAGGGAGGCGAACGACAGCAACTTGGATGTCGTCGAGACCGAGCTTCTCCCTGCGACTCTCCTTGGGGCTCAGCGACACTGCCCGTGAGATAACCCGCCCACGCGCCCGCGGCGCTGGCGCGCCCGCAAAATTGGCGGGGTCTGTCCCGCCACTATCTCCCGTGGGCGCATCGGCCTATCACGCTCCACCCGCTGTTCTGCAGGTCGCGCTCCTCGCCGTCGATCCACTTTTTGTCGGAAGGCAGCGCCCGCTACTCCATCTGAACCCACTGGAACACCTCGAACTCCACCCTGCACATCATCTCCTTGGTCCTCCCCTCGGTGACCATGTCCTCCGGTGGCTCCTCGCCTGCGCGCGCGCCCCTGTAGACTCGTGTGATTGCCGCCGGGATGCCTACCTCTGTGTTCTGGCCCTCCAATATCGGCGCGGCAAGTGGAGCGTCTCCTCCAGCATCGATCGCCGCAACACACATCGCCACGTCTTCCAGCACCAGATCGCGGCAAAGGTGGTGCCCCGCAGGTGTTCCAGGTGCTCGTGGCCATGCACCTGCTGGCCTCGGTTCTTATGCCCGAGCTTCTTCGCGTGGCGCTGCCCCTGCTGGTTGTCCTCCTTGAACTCCTCCTGCGGCATGATCTGGGTTCGCTGGAAACGTCGCATCCATCCGCGGCTCGAACCCGTCGCAGATGTCGGCGAACCTCGCCCTGCACCTCGCGATCTGCCCGCGCCAGCCGCGCGGCCATCTGTTGACCCGCGCGACTCGACCAACGACTTCGCGGCGCACCTCCACCGTCGCACTACCTCGCTCTGGCCCTTCACCTCTAGGCCTTTCGGACGCCGCGCAGCACCGCTGAACGCGTTGTGCGACCCCTCGTTACACTCGTCCTCAGCGCCCCTCAGATCCATCGCCCTGGCACGTTCGACCCCGCGGGCAGCGCCTGCGATGATCTCGTCGCCCTCGTCGCGCCTGCCGAGGGCAATCCCTTCGCCAAACCTCGGCTGCGTCTTCGAGTCGTTCGTCGCTTGGACCTTGCAGTCGACCGCCTCTCTGATCTCGCCAAACTCCGACCTGCACTTTTCTCGTGCCACTCGTTCCCGCGCAGCCCTGCCGTCCGTCGCGATCGCAAACCTCGCGGGCCAGGGCCCCGCGCGTCTTACCAGTCAGAACATGGTCAAACTCTTGGGGCCGATCTTCACCTTCTGGTTGAACTCCAGCTCGCTGCGTCGCGTCCGCGTCGGCGACTCCACTCGTTCCGCAGCTTTCTCGATCGCCCCGTTGCTCCAGCGAGAACTTGTCGTCGACTTCTCCACCTGCGCGCTGTGCTTCCTCCTGTTCCTGGCCGCTGAGACCACCGCCTGCAGCGATGCCCCCTGGGCACCTTTGGGCGCGATGTCGGCTGGGCCCCGTGCGAACGACCATGATCGACGTCGCAGGGTCCTCGGGCGCCTGGGCCATCGCCGGGGTCGCCGCCGCCTCCGTTTCCAATTCGGCGCCGCGAAACAACTGTCCATGTTGATGACTGGCGGCGCGGGTGCCTCCGCTGGATTCGCTGCCTTGCAGACCTCCCCCCTGCAGCGCCCCAATGCCCCGGTCTCTGAACGGCATGTGCGCGCTCGGGAATGGCGTATCCTCGGCAGCCGGCTTCTGCCTATCCCCTTGTCTCTTCGGTCGCCGGGGCTCGTCGCTATCGCCCGACTGAGGTGGTTCAGGCGCGCCTTCTTCGCATTGCGGGCAAAGCGTTCTCGCGTCCACGTCGAAACTGCAGATCCCACGCCGCTGGGTCAACCTGAGCGGCTGCGTCTTCCGCTCGGAATCGATCGCCCACTCGGCCTTCTCGCTCCAGCCCGCGCTCGCGACGGCTCCGCCTCGATCATCGTAGTTACTGAACTCCCGGCGAAAACCTCGCGTTACAACTCACAGCAATGCTTGCCTTTTGAACGTCTCGCACATCAAACTGCCCCGCGCTGGCTGACAAGCGCCCGCGACCTGCGCGAGTGCTGCCTGGCAACCAGCGGCGAAGATTGTGGCGCCATCAGCCTGTCGCAGAGGCGGTGCATCTCTGTCTTCTCGAGCGCAACACTCAATGCGCATGCGCTTCTCGCCGCGCATGAATCGGCCGTCAGCATGATATGCCCGCCATCTGTCCGCGGGCCTTGCTCGTCGACTGGAATCAAATACCTCTCGCCCTTCTCGTGCATGTCGTGACTGGGCCCCCTCGCGCGATCCTTCTCCTCGTCCTCGCTGTCGAGCCTGGCTGCCATGAGGATGTAGCCCTCCTCGGCGGCGCAATAGTCGTGGCCCAGGTGCTTCGCGTCGACGTCCTTGCTTCTGTCGGTTGGTCGGTCCAATCGCGATGTGTCTCCGCGATCCTTGTCGTTGCCTTGCAGCGTGCTTCTCTCGCGCAGGTTTTCCTCTAACCTCGCCGCCCCCCATGTCATGCGTGGCTGACCTGCGCCCCATCAGCTCGTGGCCTTTTTTTCCCCCGCGGCGCGTGCGCGGCATGCTCGTGGCTGGCGCGTCGCAACCTTTGCCTGTCTTACCTGCGTGACTCTTTCCAGGCTTGCCCTTGCCGTCCATTCCTTTACCTCCGAACGTGAAAGCGTTTAAATCCATCGGGCCTGGGCCACTCAGAGCCAGCGCCGCCCGCTTCGAACTCAAATAGCTCAACAACTCAACCCTCGCAAGCGCGCGTCGTGAAACGAGCGGCGTTCAGCGTGAGATGGTTTCTGCGGCGCCGGCCTAGCACTCAACGCCGGCATCCCCATGGACTCCGCGACTCCCTCGCCCGTCTGCTCCCCCCATCTCTGCGCCGACGTCTCCCGCGACGCGATGCCCTTGATCGGGTCGCTCTCCTGAATAGTAAGGTGCAGGATCGAGTCCAACATGCCTGGGGTATCTCGACGGGACCTTCGGCTCAAAGTCAACGCGCGGTAATGCCCATGCCTCGAGTCCTTCTCCTGGAGGAGCGCTCTTGACTATGCCCTGCGCATTGTCCCAGCAGGTCAACGCCAGGTAGCGCACGTTGGCGTTCACTCGCTGGGCGTTGTCGTTGGGGCTCTCAGGCCCGTAGCCCTCGGCGTCGACTCCAACAGCGTCTCTCATCAACTCTGCCATGTCCGGGTCCACCGCCATGCAGTAGACCGCCGTGGCAAAACTTCGATTCCCCCAAGTGGCGCCGTCCTTGTACTTAGCAAGCTCGTCTGACTCACCTGAAACATTCTCTGGCTTGCCTAACAGCTTCGCGTCCACCAACGAGCCTGGGCGGGTCTGAACTCGTGCGTCCTGGACAGGTCTATCAAAAGCTGCGACTGCTGCGCCTTCATTCGCTGCTGCTCTGGCGTTGGCATGTTGGGCTTGTTTCTCCAGCTCCTGTATCTGGTTCCTCTGCTGAGCCACAACTCTCTCCATCGCAATTTCCCTCTGCAACAGCTCTGCTGTTGCCATCGCAGCGTGCGAGAACGGGAGCCTGGTCGTGGGAACGACCATGCTCCGCTACCATGCTGAACGGTGGTCGCACTGGACCCATTTCCTTGACCCAAACATGAACGTTCTGAATGTAAGCTATGACGTCGCGAAGCCCTGCGCAGCGACGGAATTTTGATAGTTTTCGGCATTCGGGGGCCCTCGCGGGTGGGGGAAGTGGTCTGGACACTTGGGGCCCACGCGTCGACAAAATTGGAGCGGCCAGATGGCCGTCGGGGGTGGGTGGGTGAGAAGGGGCGGGCAATTCTCAGAAGACTCGAAAGTATCGAGCCCTCTTGAAAAGTTGTCAGACCCCCCAAAAACACAGACAACTCTTTAGAGAAGGCTGGATGGCTTTTAAGAAGGCCTTTGAACGATCGGCCGTTTCCGAGACCGTCGGATCGTTCAGCATCAACCAATTCTGGGTCGCCGGCGGCGTTCAACGTTGAACGGTGGCGGCGGGGTCGCCTTCAGTCGACACGACGCGAAACTACCGCGCCAGGAATGACAGCAAAACGTACCCCCGCCTCCAGCCAGGACCCCCCAGATCATCTGGCAGCCAAAGAAAACGACCCTCACTCCCAAACAGAAGCCCTTGCTCAACAGGTCGGGATTTGGGGTCCTG